CCCCAAAACCCCAAAACCCCAAAACCCCATGATCAATATATTTAATTGAATTTATTTATAATGGACGACGAAATTCATTTGAAAACATTGAAGGACCAACTGAACAGTCTGAAGCCTGTCCCCAATTTCGACATTGACTTCTCCGATTACAATTCATACCAGTTCAACAGGACGACCAAAAATTTGGATTTGTTTAAAGAGAAAGAAGTGAAGAGAGAAATAAAACATCCAAGAGAGATTCTGCCTAAAGCATCAACAACCAGAGATATTTCCTATATGAAGGATATAATCGACCGGTCTCACTATCGGAGTGTCTCAAAGATAGATATCAATGAGAAAATTAAGAAGCTAGGGCTTCAAGCACTCCCGATAGGGAGTGCATCCTCCTATGCCAAACATCGTAGGTCAGAATCGGTAGGAAAACTGCATAATCAAAAGCAGATTGAAGCTCAGAGTTATCCCACTGATATAAAGCATTTAGAAAAGTTGATACAGTTTACTGAGCCTAACCATCGAAATCTCGCTGGCGGCCGGACCTGTCAAAGGGAGTCATGTATCAGCCACAATGCATTGATTAACGGTAAATCTCCCCAAGTTCATGAAAACCCTGATGAGATGTCTCAAAGAAAACTTGATGAAGAAAGCCTAATGCATAAGCTAGAGGTTTGGTATAAATAAAAACACTGACTTCACATACTCTGTTGTAAAATAAGTCTGCACTTGAGAGCAAGATGTTCTCAGGCAAAAGAGTCACACTTGAAGGAATGATAAAGGCGAATAATGTTAAAAAGAGAGGTGGCTCTAAGGATGAAACTATGCATGCAATTATAGAGAACTCACATCAAGAAAATACCGATAAACAGCAGAGTGACAATAAGCAGTTTGGAATTTTAACCTTGCTGAATGATAAAGATCATAATAGTTACAGACATAAGGATCTTGGAGAACCTACTGGAAGAAGAGAAGTTGAGCTTTTAAATGAATGGCTTGATCAAATGCTGCACTCATATGTCTTCTCAAAGACAGAGATAAAGAAGGATCCAGATAAATAGAAAAGAAGCTCTATATCATGCCAAATTAATCCTCTCAATTTGACTCAGAGATCTCATAAGACAAGTGTCTGTCCAGTGCCTTGAAAGAGGAGTTTTGATTGAGAAGGTGATTAACAACTACATTAACATATTTGAAACCGAGACTAGAGGAAATATGTACGATTTAGATGAGCTTCAATCAAAACACTTGAAAGATATCCTAAAACTCAAAGCAGAGGTAGCTAGGAACACAGACAAGAGGTAATCATAAGTCTAACTCCATAGCAAGCACACTCCAGAGGCTGCTTCTCAGTCGCAGTTTTCCAAATTCACCAAGATTAACCAACTCGAGGAAGAACTAGAGGAAGCTAAGGGAGAAATCATTAAATTAAAGGAAGAAATTAAGAAGAAAGAGGCTGAATTCTCCACTTCAGTCATGGAATTCAAACGCAGAGAATCCATGATGGAACAAATGAGGAAGACAGATGGTAGAAGACCAATCATGTCCGAAAGCAGCGAGAGCGAGTCCTCTCTCGATGATGAACAAGAAGGAATTAAGAGAAAAATGAAAAGGTAAAGAGCTTACTGATGTTTAGGAATAAGATTCAAAATCTTAAGAAGGAAATTATTCATAACAAGAAAAAGGTGGGAAGAGTCGACCTTCTTAATTTACCAAGCTCTGATGATGAAAAAGTCGTGGTATGTTATGCTTACAATATTTAGAGGAAGCTGGATAATTTACATGAGCCAAGCTCTTTCGAAGAAGATGAAGAAAGATCTAATGAAGAACCAGTTATGAATCTCAGTGATTCAAAATAAGAAAAAGAAGTAAGTACTTATAGTATCCAGGCTAATTTCAATAGATCGCCAAAGAAGAGAAGGCATATCAAGTCACCACTTTCTAAAAAGAAAGCAATGAGGTCCAAGACTATAAATCTAGACGGGGATGAAATGGGAATGGACGACGAGATCATGACTTCTTTGAGATCTGAGAGTGTTGACAAGATCAGCAAAGACCCGAAGAGTCCTCAAGTGCGTGCTACTAAGAAAAGAGATACCAAGGTTAATCTTGAGATGAAGAGGAAACTTGAGGATGCTGAATACAAAGATCTCAAGCAAAGATATCACGAAGATGAGCGAGACAAGAACTATGTCCTTAATGAAAGAGAGGCTATAGAAGAAGCTGCTGATAAGGAATCAGAAGGGGGAAATGAGCTCAACGAGTCTATTGATAAGTTAGAGGAGGAGCAAGATCTTGAATTTAAAGACAAAGTCGCACTAATTTCACATGAGTTTATGAAAGATATCAAGTTCCTCGATGAGGAAAAAGATGCTACTGAGCTCAATAGTTTACATAAAGCAATGATACAGAAAGTATTTGACTGATTCTTAGAGAACAAGCAAGAACTCTTGAAAAAGATTGCCGGAAAATTGGCTTCTCAGAAAGATATTGAAGAATACTTGTCACTAGATTCTGATCCTGATAGAGGTGAAGATGATACAACTCCTCGGTATGGCCAAAACAGAAAATCAGACGCTAGCTACCAATCAAAGGCCGGGAAGAAGAGGAAGAGGACCGAAGACACCATGATGCAGGATTCTAAATCAGGCATGAGCAGTAAAGATAATGATTTTATGGAAAATATTATGGATGTCAGTCATTCAAACTATGAGAGGAATGACTCCTATGATTCCTCCCCACAGAAAAATCTTGAGAGAAAGATCAGGAAAGATAAATCCAGAAAGAGACAGAGAGACTTTTCAAAGGGCAATGACTCGGTCAGAACAAATTTACTGAACATCCAAACAACTGCAGATCTAATATCTTATGTCAAGAGAAGGCAGAATAAGCGAATAATGAGACAAAAGAGGGGCTCTAAAGTTTCTAAGAAAGCTGGGGGAATCGTCCCATCAAGGATCACAAGGCGAGATGGAGGCAGCCACCCCTCAATAAGGCATTTTGGGGTCTTCCAGCAAGGAGGGAGATCCATCGAGATTCAGACAGATGATCTTGACATTCTTGACCTTAGATGTTCAGAGATTAACCTAACTGAAGTGTACCATTTTGATAAAATCTCTGCATGACTGAGAAAGATAGTCATCGAGAGAGGAGTCGATGCTGAAATCTTGCGACAATTTGAGTACCTCCACAAAGATGCTATCAAGAACAGGTATAGATCAAGAACATCAGTGATGGGGAAATATGGAAAGCACCTCAACAAACAAGACCAGTTCCGCAAGAACATCAGTGATGTTGTAGCCAAGGTAGAAGTCACCAGGTATAACGATGCTCTGAAAGCTTTGATCAACAAAGTCAAGGACTACGAGCATGAGAATGCTTATCTTGAAGAGAAACGTTCATGAATGAGCTCCCAGTTCCCTCTCTTTAAAGAGAGTGAGGATGATGTCTTCAACAGAGGCTGGCGAAAGGGGTACTCAGCCGGGTACACCAGAGGCAACTCCAACGGCTTCTTCAAAGGGTCCATTGAAGCCCAATACATTGGCCACCAGAAAGGAGTAGAAGAAGGAATGCAAGAGGGCTGGAACTTTGGGTTCGATGAAGGCTTCAAAACAGGAATCAGGAAGGTTTTCAGAGATGCTAGAGAAGCAGGCATTGACCTTAGCTCTTTAGAACTGATGGAGTATATCTCAAAAGAGGATAAGATAAAAGGACTGATGAAGAATTTATATACCAAACTAACTAAAGGTAGGTGATTTAGAGTCAATTTTAGTCTTTGCCATTAGCGAAAGGCTCGAAGCATCTTCAAAACTGAATGAGAGATTTATGGGCTACAGTGATAGGAGGAAGAGGTTAGCTGTTAAGATGGGTAAGAAGAATATGTTCAAAGCAGTAACTAATTACTTCACATCGAAGATTAAAACAAAATCACACCACCTCTTATTGTGAGAATTTCTGTACACTCAATGCATTGAGAAGTATGGTAACAGTAAATTAGCAGATAAAAAGTTGATCCAAGTGTTTGCAGCATCTGTTTACCATCAGAAGAATGAGAGAGTGGGGATATTCTGTAGGGCTCTACATCTATCAGAAAAGAGGAACTACTCAAATGATATACTAAATATTTATCTGTATATTCTAAGTCAGTTCCAGAGAGAATACAACACAAGGATCAATGCCATTAAGGATGATATTACAGAGGGACAATGTGACTTTGCTCCTTTTGTCAAAGGAGTCGAAATCTTCAAGGAAATGTTTGAGGACAAAATTCCTATGTATCCAAAGCTGAAGCTCCAAGTTGACAAGATGATGATCACAAAATCAAGCATGAAGATGATCGATGTTGATAAATTTAGCAACTTTGTGATTGTGAACTACATGAAGTACTACATAAACTTGAATTCTCCAGAGGAGATCATCTACAACGCATGGACTCTATACGAAGTGAACTATATCACAATGAACGAGTTGTACGTGACTACAGAGTTGCTGCAACCTCCGACGATCTTGGTGGATATTCCTGAGGAGTCTAAGCAAGTCAACATTTCCAAGGAGCAGTTCTACAACTTGTTTTCAGAACATCTGAAGGGGAAAACCAATGAGAATATCTATTCTCACCAATTCAAGGAGGTTATGAGCAAGGTGGACACTTTTAGCCCTAGGAGGGTCAAAAAATTATTCGATCTTTCCCTTTGAAACATGACTATTGCCCAGTTCAAGGAGGAATATTTTGGAATCTCAACAATTCTGTAAGCCAAAAAGCTAATTTTGTAGGAAAGAACGACTTGATGAGCTTTATAAAGGCAAGAAATGGAGGCAAATTAACCGACTTGATGTGAAAGAAGTTTGGCTCAATAAAATACATGTAAGAAGGATCTTCACATTTTAGGCAGTCTCCAGGGCTATTGGCACGGTCAATATTACGTTACTTAAAATTAGCTTGAAGTTGATTAAGGAAAGTATTGATTTCTTCCTAAAACAAAAGAGAGAGCTCCTAGGAGGCCGAGAAGATGAATCTGATGAAGAGGAAGTTAAAGAGAATACTTCAGAAACTGGTGTAACAAAGGAACCACAGAGAAAAGGTAAATTCCTATACTATTTTAGTTTCAAACACAAAGCTATCACGGAATATCACTAAGATAAATGATAATAGTGGTGAAAGGGTTAGCATAGAACAAAAGAGTTCTATGACTAGCCATTCTATTTTTAAAATGAATAGCAATAAAAAGGGAACTAAACTTTCTTCAACAAAGATCAAGGATAATATTATTCAAAATGAGGCTCAAACTCAATTAAGTAGAGGATCGTCAGGTAAAATTTATATATCAGTCTCTAGTGGCAAGCAAGGCTAGAAGAGCAAGAAAATCAATGTCAACACAGAAAACTGTGATGGCAAGATCTGGTTTCAAAAACAACAAAATGCCTTCATTTGGTGGAGCAAATTTCAGATAATTTCAATTAAATCTACTTCCCCTGGGGTTTTGGGGTTTTGGGGTTTTGGGGTTTTGGGGTTTTGGGG